ATCTATTCATCTTTCATCTATCATGTGGAAAGCCATGGAGTGTAAATGACTGTTTAATTTTATTTTGTTTAGTAATAATCATTTTTTTTCGGCTGAAGAAATCCGAAATTTTCGGTGTTTGCGCAGCCTTGTACCTAATATATTTTACTAAATGCAGATACAGACACTGACTCACTACGGACTCGGCTATAGAGTAATATTTATATTGCCCTGGGCTCGGCTACCGCGCCGTCGCGAGTGGATTACTGTATCGTTTGTTTACAGCGGCTCGTGATAAAAAATATCGATCGCTGCGCTATAGAAATACAAAATATTTCAAAAACCAAATTTGATACATATTGGACAAGGTAAGATATTATTATTATTTTTGTAATCACAGATTTTCATTACAATATATTGTTTCGCTAAAAGTAAATAGGATTTATATAAAAATATACTTATACGTCTTGGACTTTATGGAGTGACATGAAGGTTTACTTTAGTGAATTCTAAATTAAAATACTGGTTATGCATGCTGAGATGCAAAACTTTTTGAAACTGAAATAGTTGATGAGAAAAATATTATTAATTAGTAAAGTACAAAAACCTAAAAATTAAAGTGAGTTGATTTGGATCGTTTTAAGATAATTCTGTAAAAAGTTATTTCAATTAACAATAATCCAAATTTTTTGAATCTCAATAATAATAACATAGTACAACTAAAAAATATATTTTCTATTGTTGATTGAGAATTTTTTTCTATATTTTTTTCACGATCATATTATGAGCATTATGAGTCGTGCACTTTTGGATTTTCAAAATTTTTTTTATTAACTTTGACTTAAAATTAGAAGTGATAGTAACAAGGATGGATATTTATGAAAACTTGTCTATTTAAAATACTTTAAAAATTTGCCGTATAACATGAGCGCTTAAAACATGCACATTTGGATTTACCTAAAGTTTTTTTTAATTTGTTTTGTATTGTTAATTATTCTGTAACTTTAATGACCTATTTTTAAAAAAAATGTCTCGCTGGGTTTCTAGCTGGTTTTTCCCAAGACAGAGGTATTTTCCGAACCAGCGGTATATTAAACTTAAGAGTGACTTCCAATAAGTATTATTTCTATTTTAATTTCTATTACAACATATTTTAAATAAAATTAATTACATTAAATATATTTGTAACATAAAGTACAACTATTTAGTTATTACCGTAGTTTTAATTCAATATATTTATAGACTATTTCGTGTCGTTGCGGAGACGAGCACGAAATATAGCGTGCCAATGCCATTCAGTGCTTATTAAAATGCTTTTTCAATCGAAAACAGATCACAAGTTCTAATCTGAGGCTATTGTGCTAGATAGATTATGCACTTTTTTATAGAAGAAGGGGAGACGAGCATGCGGCTTACATGATGGTAAATGACTACTGTCGCCCATGGACGACTACAACGTTTTGTTATTCGTGTTTTTGTTTTTAAATACTCGTAAAGCACGTGGTAGAGCCACGCTGCAGTTATATTAGTAGTATAATTGTAGCACAAATGGGTCGGCTCAACATGAGAAGGACCACGCTCTCATAGAATACCAGCGTAAAATAGCATATTGTATACTCGTATAAGATAGCAGAGGATAGATGTAGATGTCTATGGGCCACAGCAACGAGTTATCATCGGGTGGACTGTGTGCTCGTTTGTCACCCTTATCTTATAAAAAGTAGGCTCCGTTCTTGGATTTCTTAATTTACAAAATAGCATACGGTTTACCATGAACCGCCCATGAACAACTGCATCATCTGGAGAATTACCAACACGTTTCCGGCGTTTTAAATAAAGTTGACTCTTTTCTTGAAGATCCCTAACTACCGAAATCCTAACATCTTAGTCCTATGGGGTGATATTGCATCTACATTTTGATTCTAAAACGTTGATTTTGGTAATATTAACCTTAGAAGTTTTCACCAGTAATCGCTTCTAAAGTAAGAGTAATCTCTTTGTGGCAATGCCAACCCATAGAATTCTTATTCAAACCAGAAAAAAAAACATGACGTTGTTGGGTTTATGGGGACACCAGTAAATACACTTAAAAACATGTTTTTTATCACCTGACGTTGTTGGGTTTATGGAGACACCAGTAAATGCACTTAAAAACATGTTTTTTATCACCTGACGTTGTTGGGTTTATGGGGACACCAGTAAATACACTTAAAAACATGTTTTTTATCACCTGACGTTGTTGGGTTTATGGGGACAACAGTAAATGCACTTAAAAACATGTTTTTTATCACCTGACGTTGTTGGGTTTATGGGGACACCAGTAAATACACTTAAAAACATGTTTTTTATCACCTGATTGGGGACACCAGACCAAAACTGTATCCCCTAACGTTGTTGGGTTTATGGAGACACCAGTAAATACACTTAAAAACATGTTTTTTATCACCTGACGTTGTTGGGTTTATGGGGACACCAGTAAATACACTTAATAACCTTTCATTAATTCTTGTATGTTAAATAGCGAGGTTAATAATCTATGATGACAGGCTTCTGAATAATAACCGGCCAAGTGCGAGTCGAGCTCGCACACGAAGGGTTCCGTAACGCAAAACACGTTCGCAAAACGCGTTTCTTGTAGGGGAGCCCCTTTATTTTTAATTTATTTTAATTTTTATTATTTTTTGTTATAGCGGCAACAGAAACACATATGCTGTGATAACTTCAATCGTATACCTATTGCGGATCTTGAGTACATGGTAGAGCCTACCACGTATCTCGCTGCAGCTATATTATGGTTGTAGCACGAATGGGTCGACGCAAATAGTAGTTTCATACTACTGTGTTTGTTATGATAGAGATCCAGGGACCGATTTTTACTGGAAATGAGGCATTCCATCTTAGTCCTCAGGAGTGACAACACGTCTGCGTTTTGATTCTTAGTCTAGAATAAATGTAGATGTCTATGGGCCACAGCATCAACTTAAGATAAGGGGAACTATGTGCTCGCTTGTCACCCTTATTCTATAAAAAAAACAGCTCGCTGACGGACAGACGGATGGATGGACGGTCGTCCGGACGAACAGCGAAGGCTTAGTAACAGAGTCTCGTTGGTTACCCTTTCGATACGGAACCCTAAAACTGAATGCGATGCACGATAGTGGATGCTAATAATAAGTTCACTGAAATAAATAATGTGTAGAGCGTCCGTTCATGGGAGCTGGCGAACTAGGTCAAACTCCTTTAATGTAGCGTCGATTTATGAAGCCCCCGTCGAAGAAATATCTCCCGTCAGAGTTGGACTAAAGTGTTGGACAATCCCCATAGCTATTGTTTTTTAATGTCATTATCGGATTCCGAAGAATTCAATAATACAGATGATGTCAATTGAAAAGGATAGTTACATATAAATTTATACAAACGTTGATTTGAATTATTTTTCACATTCCTTTATTAACATCCTAAAAAACGTAGGATATAAGCCCTTTAAGGTTCTTTATATTCTTTATATCATCTGACTACAGTTTAAACTTTAAACATTTTTTTTATTAATAACAAAAGATATATCTAAGAACCATTGAAATAACTTTTATATGATTAATTTTGTTTGCTGACCTTGCAATTGTGCCTCTGTATATTCGTGAAGGCTTGCGACACTACAGTATATCCTACAAAAAAGACAGCTTCCAATGGTGAATAAATCCTTTTAACTGGAACCGAGGTATTCCATCGTAGTTATCAAGGGTGACAACGCATCTGTGTTTTGATTCATAATGGAGGATAGATGTAGATGTCTATGGGCCACAGCACAGCATTCACATACGATCGAGTGGACTCTGAGCTCGTTTCTCACTTTTATTTTAAAAGTAAATATTTAAAAGACGTAAACGAGGTCAAATCAAGCTGCCTAGTGAACACCCTCATTACTACTTAATTTGTAACGTAACGCAATTCATGTTGATAACTAGGTGTAACATAGTAAAAGGTGCGCCGAAAGCGTCATGACGTCATAAATCGATCGAAGTCAATCAAAACATTGCATTGCTGTCGGTATTGCATAGTCAAATTGTGACTGTAATTTTTTTAAACTTAAAATTTTTATAGAATAAAGACGACAAATGGCACGTAGTCCATCTGAGGGTTAGTAAATGCTGTGATCGACCGATCATCCCTCATTAGCATTATAGCAGATGCGTTGTCACTCCTGAGAACTAAGTTGGAATGCCTCAAAACGGGACATTTATATATTTTTTATAGTTTTCTGTTAGCTTCGATGATTGTAAAAAACCAATATGGCTGACGTGGCTGAGCAGAAAAACGCGTGACGTGGTTGACCGAAGTGAGAGGGTTGATCATTGACAGACCTCTCACGCAAGTCTTATTTAGACTGAGCCGGGTTTACACACTTACTAAGTACTGGTAAGCGTCCACAAGTACAAGCGTATAAATTGGGTTGCTTAGCTTGGCATGCGTGAACTTGGAGAAACTTGCCGCCTTCCGATCAAATGTCGGTTTTTGAACACAAATCAAAGGGTGTTGCAACGCATTCACACGTTTGTGCGCCTTGTGATCTGATCCGATGATAAAGATAAAAAGAAAGTGATGGATGCCTGGAGAAGTCTTCCCGAATTAATGTAAAAGCCGATAAAACAATTAGCAGCTAAAACTGAAATATGGATCAAGACTTTCTGCAAACATTTAAAGGAACCAAAACGCATTGGCTGAAATAAGTTCGGTGTTCACCACGCTTGTCCGTTCAGAGCAACCGATCTCGAGCATGACTTCCAAATGCGAGATTAGTATTTGTAAATTCTTGTGTCTTTTGGAAGGTTGCTAAGACTTAGCAAGCGTGTACACTTAGCATTTTGTATCCTTTTTATCATTCTAAAACTTTAATCAAATTGCAGAAGGGATAGAGAGGTTTTGACATCAGTAATTTTATCCAACACAAGTATTTAAAAATACGCTAGTAACCGCATATTGTTGATGCATTGATATTAAAACACCAGATGTTAACTATTGTTATGACGCAATTTGAATGGCTGACGATCCAATGGAATCCAATGCGCTTATCAACCTTGTACAGCGTCGTGAGGCAAAATAAAATGTCTTTTATGCTGCAGGTGTCCATGTACCTTCAAGCAAAGAAGGCTACAGATGTGTTTGATACTAAGGTAGAATGCCTCACAGCCTATAACTATCCGGCTCTCTATATCCTTCGTATCAGAACATAGCACTGTACACATAACCCTGTCGCGATAAATGGGAGAGAGGGAGGTCCTCCTGGGCAAAAAAGGAGCCCTACCACCTATTAATGTCCCTTCGGTACGTTCGGGAACAAACTGACACATCGTTGCTGCAGCAATACGCCCTGGCTCTGCCAAGTACAACTGAATGAACTGAACTAACTTACACTTATATACAAGTACACTGTCACAAGTAGGACAGTAGAAAAAATAAATAGAATAGTCATTAATGAAATTTAGAGTGAAATAATGCTGGTATACGGAAGACCAGGTACGACGTCTCAGACAATTATCTATTGTACAAAACACGGAATTAATTAATGCATAATAAATATCTATAAAGCGACTAGGGAATGTGTAAACATCTTTGTAATACATCAATAGGAACTTACGGCATATAAAATGATAGGACAAGCACAAGCCAGCAGTTCATGGACGGTTAAAGAGGAGTGTACAGCTATGAAGAGCTTAGTACAACTTTGTCTGCTTTGTTGGGTGTTTGCAGTTGGGAGCAATCCCGTGAGTGTAAATTACGTTTTTAATACTGATAAGCACTATTATTTTATTATTCTGTTAGGTCTTTAAAATTGTACGCCGAAACCCTCCCGCTTGATCTAGTTGACTTAAATGCAACTGCTGATCATTAGGTCCCGTGTCGTGATACCAGGTTAGGTCAAAATCAGTTACTGGGTTTTTCTATCAAGAAGGTCTCAGTAGCAACCCAGAGCTCGGAAAGCACGACGATCCGTTGGTCCTATGCCTGCTCTCTCCGCGCTCGTGTTAGATCGTGTGCAATATAATCTAAGGAGATTTTCCTGCCAATTCCTTGTTTGATTTTCTTCTGTCATCTCTTACGACACACACGGGATGAAAAAAAACTGGTAATGTGCTGAGTTTGACTGTTATCACAGATCCGTAATCTAGGTATATCATATTGTTAATTTATTCCAGATTTTTCCAGCTTTATTTAAGGAGATATAATTAATAACACTTACTGCAAAGAAATTCACAAGCTTGTTAATAACCAGAAAAGTATCGTATCGTATTGTTGCACGCCATAATTAATGCCTGGTACATGCCGGGTGATTATTAGCGCCATCTAGTATCAAGTAGCACAAATAGGAGCGTTTTCTAGAAAATTCCTTGCTAGAACTTTTAACATGAACGATTACCCACTTATTGCTCGGGGGCAGCGATATGGAATAGTCAAAAACATTTAAGTAGGTAGTAGTACCTAATAGATCGGACATCAGTAACAAAATTGTCGTCTGTAACTTTTGTCCTATAATATATATCTCCGATTTTTGTCATGTGGTCTAAGTGACGTCGTCAAAAGGTCAAGACGCATTTTATTTTATAAATTTAAAATTATTTTTAAAGAAAATATGCCTGGTTGTGCATTAAAGTATTGTAAATCACGATATGGAGCAAAAAATTAACGTGATTTCGGTTTATTATCGTAAGAATAATGTTTATTTACCAAATAATCTTTAAATTTTATTATTTCTAATAGATTGTCCGAGAAGAAAGAAAAATTATTGTAATAAGTGCTCTCTGTTATCCAGTAACGTCAATATTTATTTATAAATATGTTAGTGATTAACGATGTGCCTTCAACGAATTTTAACCTTATGTTTAGTAGTGTCACCTACTGGGAAATAGCTAAAATGTTTTCTAAATAAATATTCAGTGTAGTATTGCTATATTTCGCTAGAGGGTGTAATACATGCGCGTGGTCACAGCTTTTGTATGAAAATGTTCCCAATGTCCGCTCTATAGTGTATATATATATTTAAATCTCTTTGGTAATAGTGAATTCACTTTCTCTGACACTATATACACATAACTCAAAAGATTTTCTCTTACTCACTACACTGTGTGCGTGGGTTAATTAATCCTGCACCGAAACCCTCGAACTTGTGATGCTGCTAGTGAATCATTGAAATGAATGAGGTTGGTGTTTGTGTCCACATTCTAAAAAGTAAAATATTTTCTCCACAGACCACTAATGAAGCTACAGTCACGACGGAGGCAGCAGTCTCAGAAGAAAAATCTGAAAAGTCGAGTACAATTAGATCCTGGAGCTATGAGGACTACACGTCTAAGGACTACGTGGAGTACCACAGTGTTAGCCTAATTGACATTTAGCAAACGTCAGCGCTTACAAAAAAAATTCAACGTTTAGTAGCGTGACTGTCACGTGACTTATTTATAAAATAAAAGTGGTGAACAAACTTACAGTCCACCTGATGGTAAGTACTTCTACAGCCCAAATATATCTGCAACCAACTTCAAATTAAGAAGTGTACAGGTGCGTTGTCGCATCTGAAGACTAAGATAGAAAGCTTCACAGTAAGTAATTATATTGGTTCTGTGTACCCTCCACACCTGAACAGCAGTGCAGGCACCGCTCTTTGGCGTCAGAAACAGGCGATGGAGTGTTATCAAACCAGACAGACTCTTAGGCAGAGAAGGATTCCTACCACCAGTAAAGTCGCTTTGATCGAGATAACTCATCCTTGCTGTAGCAATACGACGCCAAACTACATGAATAAAGATCAAACTTCACGTTGTTCTACCGTCTATCACGTAAAAATTTTTATCGTCATTATTGCGACCAATCAAAGTCCACTGCTGAACGTAGAGCTTCCCCGCATATTGCTCCTATGCTACAGTGTAATATTATTTCGGGTTGCTATCAGGAAGAGGTTTCTGCCCATCTTCTGTTTCCCTTGGTGCCTCTTACAAAGCCCAGTGTTGTTACAGCCAGTTTAGTTACGCTTCTGCGCGACAAGTACTGTCCTCCTGTGAGGAATGACCATATTTACATACTTGATAACTGCACTTGGGAGGCCTTGATGACCTTACCTGGCTGGCCTACAGTATCAGTACAGTATGGGCTGCACTTGGGAGGCCTTGACCTCCTTGATGCCTAGGAGGCCTCCCAGCAAATAATAATAATAATAGCATAAATAATAATAATTATTATTTTTTTATTTACGCTAGGTAAGGTCATCAAGGCCTCCCAAGTGCAGCCCATACTATACTGATACTGTAGCCCATAGACATCTACATCTATCGACAATTGAGAATGAAAATGCAGATGCGTTGTTACCCCTGAGGTACTTAGACATTTCCAGTATAAAGGCTCTCTGGTTCTCTACAGTCACCATAGGAAACACGGCAGCGAGAGTAAGGTTCTTCCTCGGTCAAGCCGTTCCATTCATGCAACAACTAAAATATAGCTACAGTATGGCTCTATCACGTACTGCTGGATAAAAGCCGTTCATTCATTTATTTATTACAGCCAGTCAAACGTCCACTTCTACATAGACCTCCCCCATAGATCGTCTCACAAGGGGGTATACTGCCATAATTGCCACACTTAACAGGCAGCTAAATCATTTTATTATTAGCTGTTTTTCAAGAAGATGCTGCTGCCCATTTCCCATTTCAGTTTTCTCTGTTGTTTCGAGCAGATTTGGAAGAGTGAGTGCATTGTCCAAGGCTATTGCGTGCTACGTCAGCCATCTTGTTTTGGAGTATCAGGAAACTGCACGTACAGTACACCTAGTAACATCTCCCATAATATGGTCAAGGCCCGACCTGGGAATCGAACTGAGGAACCCCTACGCCCGTCGCCCAACCATTTTCTGGTGTAGTGTGTTAGTGAGCTCTGCACTGAATCCCTCAAACTTATTATGCTTGTGATTCTCTCAATTGCCATCCCATGGTTTTATATTCGGCAAGTATTCTAATGTATTAAAGTAATGGATATATTCTAAAGTGTAAATTATTATTTTTAACACAGACCACTAATGAAGCTACAGGCACGACCGAATCAGAACTCTCAGAAGGAACATCTGAAGAATCAAGTACAACTGAATCCTTGAATTTTGAGGACTACACGTCTAAATATTTCGTGGAGGCGCTATTGAAAAATATTACTCGGGATAAGATACAAGCCTTTAGGAAGGTGGCACAAATCCTTACTTTGCTGGGTGAACAGGTGCAACTGGATATATTTTTGTGACTTTGAGTTATGATAGTGTTGAACTGCGAAAAAATGGGAAATGCCACTAATCTTGTTCAACGTAGAAATATGTTACTGAGGGATATTCGATCATTATTATGCATGGTTTCAGTACTAGACTGATAAATACGGAAAGTTGCCCACTAGATGGAGTGTCACTCTGGTAAGATATGAGGGTAGTCGATGAATGCGGGTAGCTCAGGACCATGTTTTGTGGAATTCTTTAGGTGTGCCCTATTTTCTACAGTAGATGTCTGTAGGACATCTACTGTAGAAGTTAGTGCTAATAATAAGGTTTTGATAAATAAATTGCAATGTAGTTGTGACGGAAAGGTATCCATCATCTCATCAAAAAATAACTACTCGAAAATCTAGAATATCATATATCGATATAATCATCATCTCAATATAATCGTCTCGTTTACACAAGACGTTTAGTGTCCAGATCCGCGATGGGCTGCAGCGTCAAAGGTGCGAAATGTTTGTTACTACAGTCGCCACCGACCATGCGGGATAATTAGGGCAAATCCTTCCTATACCAGGAGAAATACATGTCCAGCAGTTGACATTCACGGGCTGATGAAGAAGAGGAAGAAGAAATAAATCAAAAATATTTTGGTCGTAATAGGAAAATGATCTCGTACCAGACAAGGTGCTCAGCCCAACGCTGAATGTGGTGGTACAGAGCATGTTCTATTTATACAGAGTAGTTTGAAACGTCGATAGCGTGATTTAGGCCTCGGTCCGTACACGCTTGTGTAACCATAATATTAATGAATAATAGTCGTAAGTCCTTTTTCCACTTTGAAAATGATTAGACCTACACAGATCTTTATTTACCAGTGGGCTGTCAGATTATCATATAGGTATTTATAAACTAAATTACTTTACGAGCTAACATTCCACCTACTTGTCATTGATTATTGCAAGACATAAACACCTACAATCTAACAACGAAGGTTTCTGAATTGTCGCCCCTAAAATGCTACGTAGCCTGTAATACTACTGCCTGTATTAATCTTTAAATTCCTTTAAAGATGTGTGGTACTGCTGATAGAATAGGCAAGAGATGGTTCCTACCCCGGTCGACAACTATGTAGAAAAGGAGCGGTGGTATGGAACACGTACAAACCGCTGAAATAAATAAAACGATTGATTTCCAGATAATTCCAACCATCCTGGGAGAACCACCCGTAAACAAATGTGAGAAGAAAATGCAGACACCCAAAGAAAAAAAAGCCACAACTACTCATAATGAAAATTAGATCATGTGTATTTTGTTTATGATTCCATACATTTCTTTACGTAGAAAAATGTAAAAATGCTATGCCAACTTCACACTTAGTTCGTGAATCGCGCGCAAAGACGCGAACATTGTGCGAACGCTTAGTGTGGAATCGATTCACAATTTCGCTCTTCCTTTGCGCATTGTTCACCGATTTTTGTCGTTTTTTGACAAGTCAATGGAAATCTCCCTTTGAATTTGCAAGGCTCTTTACAACTCACCGTTCAAGATGCTATTTAATATTCTAATAATCATATAGTAGTTTATGGGTTGATAAATTAAACCAAGAATAATCAACTTTATAATCAAATACTAAGATATTCATTATATTCAGAATGGATGTATATATCTATTATAATTAAAATGTTTGATACCTACTCATTACTCAATTAGGTATTTATTGTTAATTAATCATTTACAATAAATACCTACTTAATTATTAAGTATCTTATTTATTGAATAACGGAAGTTTATACTTACTACAATATTTTTGTACTACATTGAGTCACAATTTTCGTTTTCTCCAAACCTTATTGTTTTTTGCATTTAATAATACATTCACAATGATTCATAATTATGGTACACTGATGCACATAACAGGAGACGTACGGTAACTACTTCCATGTCCATCTCTTCATTATGCTATTTATGCTCAACTTTACGAAACCCTTCCAGTGTGAAGTTACCGCTTATTTCACGGTGTTTCTCTCCTGCGGCCATTCGTGATTCGTGGACTAAGTGTAGAACGGCCATTATGAAAATTAAAATTAAGATTATAAATCAAAAATAATTTATGATAAAATTTTCTTTAAATAAACACTTCAACACAATTAAGAGATATTTTATTTGTTCACGTATTAAAAGAAACTGAAGAACTTCTTGAAACATCACTGCCAACTTTCAGACTCCAGGCTGCTAATGAGAATAACTGATTTTTTGGTTCAACACGGGATTGATTTGAAGCAGTTGACTAGAAGATCAGCAGTCACACTTACTACAAAAAGACCAAAGAGGCAATCCGCCAAACGATTAATTTTAATGAATGTGGATGGAAGCACAACCGGGATTAATATGAGAATAACAGCATAGAGCATTTACGATCATTACAAACCAAATTTTTAGCCCATTTTATCTTGTACGTGATTGCCTCATCATAGTGCCAGAATCCGGAGTGGCTCAATTCAAACTATACTAGCGTCCTGCGGGTGCGACGGTTGGCCGAACCCGGCTGCATGTACCCGCCACGGTATCATGGCTTGGGATCCTCGCGTAACATAACACACACATAAACACTGATTTATGAGCAGTACTATTTAAGTCAATGTACCTCATCATCATCAACAGCCCTTTACAAGTCCAATGCTGAACATAGGCCTCCCCCAAAGAATGCCACAAAGCACGGTCTTGAGCTGAATCCACTGACTTCCTGGATATCTTATCAGGTCGTCACTCCATATAGTGGAAGGCCACCCTACACTTCGCTTACCAGTACAAGGCTGCCACTCGAGAACCTTTCTTCCTCATCGGTTATTGGTTCTTTGTGCAATATGATCACTCTCTTGCCACTTCAGCTAACTAAATCGTTGGGATATGCTGGTTACTCTAGTACTATTGCAGATATCCTCATTTTTACTTCTATCGATATATTAAAGTCATCTCTATAGCTCGTTGAGCGACCTTGAGCTTCCTCATACGGCTTGCAATGAAGGACCACGTTTCAGATCCATATGTCATCAGTAGCAACACGTACTGGTTGTACAATCTCTTTTTGAGGTTTTGAGGTAAATATGACGAGAAGATGTGTCGATTGATCTCTCCGTCGAAGTTTATACTAATCTTGAACTTCGAGCGTAATGCTCCCAACAAACTACTGGCATAGGTGAGATGGACGTTACATATGACCTTTATTTTGTCCATATTCATCTTAAGACATATCCCTTTGGAGACACTATTGGGGTCATTGCGCATAGTGCTTAGGGCGATTCTGCCATAACGACTATATCGTCCGCAAATGGAAGGTGAGTAATGTACTCGCCCTTGATATTAATACTGTATCTTTTTCAGTCCAGTAGCTTGAAAAGTTCTTCCAATGCACCGGTGAAGAGTTTCGGTGATTCAACATCACACTGTCTTACACCTCTCTGCAGTTGGATAGGATTCTTACTCTGGTTTTTTACCATCGTAGCCATCGTAGCCCTACAGTACAAAAACTTCAGCACTTCGATATACTGATAGTCAACTTGACACCGCTGCTGGGTCTGTAGCACCGCCCAAATTTCGACGGAATCAAAGACTTTTCTATAGTTCACATACGCGAGACCAAATCGCAGATTGAACTCTTGATCTACTGTACAATTTGCCGACGGGTATATATGTGGTCTTACTAGCTAACAAATAATAATGTCAATATGAATATAAAAAAAGTTACTTATTCAACAGATGATTCGTATGCAATTATGAATTTAAACTTGACAAATTAACTGCAAGTAAATATGTCAATATCTTGTGAGATGATATTAAAATACGTTTTAAAAAATTATATATTATAGACATAATTACACTTATAAGACTTAAAAGGTAGAGGGGCAAAATATACTGTGAATGAACTACAAATTACTTAAAAGTGATTTTGAAGAAAATAACCGACCTTGATTAACAAAGCGTAGGAAGTACCCAGCATCACTAGAAAAATTAAGTATCCTTAATATTTCCAGTGTATAAGGTTGTCGGATTAATAAATGGCTCTAATTAATCATGTTTCGATTTTTCTATTCAGCTAGTCTATCTTAGGATATTAATGACTTGTTTACCAGTGACGATATTTCATATTTAAACGATACTTATATTTAACCATGAAATAAGCTGACGATATTTATAAATAAAATAAACTAAATACATTAAAAGTTGATTAATTAAGAGGAAAAAGAATACATAAGAGCTTATAAAGTCTGTGCTAAGACATCATTTATCCAAGAATTTAAGTCACGTTTTCAGAAGCCATGTGGATTTTTTTAAACATTTATACATATAATGTTTATTATATTTCATTTATTATATACTCTTTTGCGTGGAATAAGAAATATAACAACTTCAAGGCAAGGATGTTGTTTTAATGGCTACATTATCACTTTGTCCTCTCTTTTTCCAGCCTTAGGGTTGAAATTGTTAAAATTTACATGGAACCACCACTGAAGTGTAACCTTTTTAAGATAATTTATAGCATCGAGTGTTACTTTGCAGAAATCCATTACATTAAAGATGTTAAAAATTAATTAGCTACTCGTAAGATCCGCGAATGAAATAAAATGACGTGTCTAGGACGGAACTAGGTCACAGTGTCGGAGCTAGACTTACGTATTTACTCCTACTACTTACCTATTTACCACTACTAACCTATTTAATAAAAGAAGAGTTACTTCAAGACACAGTCAGTTCATTTTGCATAGATCGGATCATAAACAATAATTAAAAAAGCTAAAGATACTCCGGGTTTACTAATGACATCGAGACGTCAGTCATCTCAGTTCCCCGTAACCATGGGTGCTGGAAAGTACCCGAAACATCGGGAATTAAAAATAATTCAAATTATACGCGATAAAATCCGTAAAAGTAGTTTTATCAATATAAAAAAAAGATTTGTTAAAATCAACTGAATCGTTTCCGAGAAATCGATGAACATACACAAACCTATGCGTCTAGTACAGAACCTTCTCGTTTTTTTACTCGGTTAACAAATAAACGAGGCGACTCCTAAAGACGGTATTATCGTTGACAAATAAATTGTTAACTAAAAAATTATTAACTTTAGTTCTACTACCACTACGTGTAGTAGTACATCCCATCATAAGTCCACTAATGAAAATCATCTATCACTACTAAACATATGCAGGTCTCCCCGTCTCAAAGCACCGTCCTGAGTTACCTGCATCCATCGACTTCCTACATCTCTTTACCTGCTCGTTACACCATCTAGTCAGCTAGTATGTGGCTGCTACTCAAGAACCTTTCTTACCCATCGGTTGTCGGTTATTCGTAATAATTAAAAACTTTCAAAAGATTTTAAAACAATTTTTATTTTATCACATTATTATGCTTTCGTAAGGTCCAATATATAGGAAATAAAAACCATTTATTCATTAGTAACTGGATCGTTGGGTATTTCTGCAGACGTGGAGGTATCAACAGCACTTGGTGGAGTCTGACCTATTACTCCCGGTATCACCTGTAAAAATAAGATCACAGGCTTTTCAAATTAATCTGTGTTCACAAAAATAATATATATTAGTAATAGTCTTAGTAAAAAAAAGTAAAATTTTAAATATTGTTTTTTGTTATAAGTACTGTTTATAGTTTCCATATGCATTTAGTAAGAAGCCGTTATTTAGACATTACAAACAGACACTTCAATGTTATTCAGTTGTATAGATTTACTTCGAAAAAAAGTCCCGCTCGCTTTCTTGCTGGTTCTTCTGAGGACAGAAGATTTTTCCGAACCAGTGGTAAAACCTTTTCTGCCCAGAATTCTGTCTGGGTAAGTACTATCTCAAGACTTATATCTGCTACAATACATCCACTGCTTTGCAAAAAAAGCAAAACAACCATACTATACGTGGTAGATCCATGCTGAAGTTATATTCGTAGTATAGTTGTAACACGAATGGGTCGGCTCTACCGGGGAAGCACCACGCTTTCACAGAATACCAGCGTCAAATAGTAGCTTAATGCTGTTGTGTTTCGAGTGGTGATTGTAGAGAACCGGAGACCCTTTTTACTAGAAACGAGTCTTAGTCCTCACGGGTGACAACGCATCTGCATTTTGATTCGTAATCAAGGATAGAAGTAGATGTCTATGGGCCGCAGCAACCACTTACCATCACGTGGACTGTGTTGTAATAAAATAAATAACGCAGTTTTATAAACGTAAATGGTTTTTATTTGAACACCTTGTGCACACCATGACAATTTATATAGAAGAAAGAGACAGGGTTACCAACACCAAAAATTAAATTAAGGTGAAATTACATTGCCATATTCTAACACCTCACCACACAATTAACGCCGAATTACACTATTTACAAAACAAATATATAAGTACTAAATTTTATCAATGTTATCTATACCACATTTTTTTAAGAAACGATTTATCAATTCTCTACTTAAAGATTTTGTAAGCATGTCAGCAGGTTGATCATTTGTTTTAACATATTTTAAACATATCGTTTTATTTTTAATTAATTCTTTTATAAAATGGTAACGGATATCAACATGTTTTAATCGTTTGATGTTATCAGTACATGCAGCAGATATGGCTGATTGATTATCAAAATAGATTTGTATAGGACGTATATTATTTATTTTGAAATCTTGTAACAAATTAACAAGCCAACAGGCATCACTGGCTGCCATACTAATGGCAATATATTCAGACTCTGTAGAAGATAAGCTAACAGACACTTGTTTCTTTGAGCTCCATGAAATTAAACAGAGAATTTGAATAAGTAGCCTGTAGTTGATTTTCTATCATTGAAATCCCCTCCCCAGTTTGCATCACAATATCCCTCCAAAACATTATCTGTACATTTATAAACCAACTTATAGTCTAAATTAAGTTTGACATAACGCATTACTTTTTTTAATGCACTTATAACATATTATTTGCAAATTTTTGATATCTACTTAATAAAGAAACAGTAAAACATAAGTCAGGCCTAGTGCCAGATACAGCATACATTACACATCGTACGTTTTGTTTTGGTTTTGAAAAAGCTTTAGGTTAATATTTTGATCAATTGGTGTAGACATTGGTTTACAATTTTCCATTTTAAATCTTTTGAGGACATTCTCTAAATATGTTCTTTGGCTCAGTTCAGTAACTTTTGTGTCTAAATTTTGTGTTATATTTATGCCTAAGTAATCCCTTAATATGTAAGGGAAGTAAGTCTTTCATTTTAAATTCCTGACATAATAATTTTTTTACCTGCTTTACTGAGTTATCACTTGTTCCAAATATTAGACAGCGTCAACTTACAATAGTAAATAAATTTGATCACTATCAGTGCACTTTCTATAAAGACAAAAGTCACAATTAGATCTAACAAACCCTTATTTAAGGATAACAGCGAATTTGAATTTAATATTCCAGCATTTAGATGCATTTTTGAGACCGTAAAGTGCTTTATTTAATTTTACAATATTGTTGCGCGAATAAGTCGACGTCATGTATCCGGCACTAGCGCCATCTAGTGTCAGGGACGAGAGCGAGGGGAGCTTTCCAGAAAATGACATCACTAATCTGTCAACCGACAGCGCCATCTAGTCTCGGAACGAAGAACTAAGCTTCTAGAAGTTGACACTCGAACTCTCGGCCCCTTGCGCGTGTTTACTTGAATATTCTGGATGTTTCGGTGCTAATTTGTATTTATAGGCGCTGCAAGATGCGATCGGGGAAGTATTGAACTTGGCGAGACAAGCGAAGCTTCGGAACGAAATAAAGTGAATTAGTGTGCTTAATTATTAGTGTTTTAAGTTTTAATTTGTGTAAAGAAAATTAAAGTGTTAATTTAGGTAATTCTATCGGCAATTTTTATTGTCACGAACCTCAAGCTCGTAACAATTGGTGTCAGAAGTGGGATAAAATCATGCCGATTTTACCTAAGGAGGAAACGGAGGGTGTCCGTACCCGCAGTCAACGCCAGCATGAGACGGACCAGAGGAGATTTGGTGGTGCAACGCCGCAGACGTTGGAGGGCCAACTGCCAGCCACGGAGGCTGCGGCCCGGCTCCTACAGCCGGAGAGCTGATTCTCGGGAAAGAAGGAAATGCTCAACATGATAACTGCCTGTCGGAAGCTGAGACCCAAATCAACCAAGTTAATAAAACGCTGGATGAACTCAAACTTAGGGATGGAATTACAGCTCCCGTAGTAGCTACTACACCTTCGCTACGTGGGTTCAAGGTGCCACCGTTCGACAGGACTTCTTCCTGGTCAGCCTACAAAAACCAGTTCGAGGCTGTTATGAAGGCGAACGGCTGGAATAAAAGTCAGGCCATGACTGCTCTCACACTAGGCCTGCGCGACCAGGCTTTAACAGTTCTGGAAGCTCTCGGTGAGGAAGTGACTTATGAGCAACTCCTTGAGACATTGGAGGCGAGATATGGCGACGCTCACCTGGAACACTTCTTTCGTGCGCAGCTTAAAGATCGCGTGTAGCGCATCAACGAAAACCTGCAGCAGTGAGCACTTGAGGTGGAGAAGCTGGTGCGAAAAGCATACCGGTCTGTACCTGCACTCATTGAAGGGCACCTGGTGCAGACATTCATCGACGGCATCCGCGACCTGGAAGTCAGAGCTGCTGTGAGGCGCGGACACCACGAGACGCTTAAGGACGCCTTGGCCCATACACTGGAGGTGGAAGCCGTGCGGCAGGATCACCGTTCCCATCACGTCAGGGAGGTTGCAGCAGCTACAGTTTGCGACCGCAACAAAGGATACAGCCCTAGGTGCTATGGCTGTGGAGAAAAGGGCCATCTTCGATCCAGCTGCCCTAAGTGAACCCTAGAAAGGGAAGGTGAACGATCTCAGGAGGGTAGTGCAGCCAACAGCACCGCCCAGCAGCAGCAGGGAAACGAGTAAAAGCCAGAACTGTGGGGCGGGTGCTGGCTGATGTTAAAAGAGCCCCAAGGATCTCGATCTCACACACCCATGATGGGAACAGTCTAATCATCAAGGGAGAGGTCAACGGAATGCCGTGTAAACTCACCATAGACACTGGAGCCTCTCGTACGGTTGTTAGTTCCCAACTTATAAGTCAGTTCCTTGGGGACTCCGCATACAACCGAGAACGCATTAATTTGGTAACAGCCACCGGTCAGCGTATACCCGTCCGTGGAGAGAAGGAGATGGAGATGAAGCTAGGCAACGTGATCTACCTGCATAATGTCATCGTGGCTGATATAATGGACGACTGCATCTTAGGCCTAGACTTTATGAGGAATAATTGTTGTGAGATCGACGTTAAGCAAGGTGTTTTGAAATGTGGACAGGAGGAACATTTTATGGAAGGTGCTTTACCAGGGAACGTGTACAGCATTAAGAAGATTGTTCTTCCGCCGAGATCGGAAACGATTGTTCCGGTTAGTCTTCCTCGAAACGCTGGGCAAGCCCACCGATGTGTACTTGTGGAAAGGGTAAACAATGACCTTCCATGGAAAGTAGCTCGAACCTTGATCAGGACCACTGACATCTCAGGAGTACCTGTGCTGAACCTTTGCGACCGGGAACAGATTATAGAAAAACGCACACTGGTTGGTACCTGTGAGAAATTGGATTTGTTACGTCGGTGCCAATATATATCGAGTGGGACCCCCAGCAAGGATTCAGAAACGACAGTGACCACACTTTTGGAAGACTGTCACAGAGTTCTCTCCCCGAACGAATTGGTCAAGGCGAAGAAGTTGTTACTCAAGTACGCCGATTTATTCTCATCAAACGATGCTGATATAGGAAAGACTGGCTTATTTCAACACAAAATAAACACAGGAGAAGAATTGCCTATCCGTCAGCGCCCAAGAAGATTGCCGGTAGCACGTAAAAAGGAAGTAGAAACCATGATTGAAGGAATGGTGAAGGATGGTGTTATTAAACCTTCCTCTAGTCCATGGTTTTCACCAGTGGTGCTGGTGAAGAAGAAGGATGGTAGCATGCGTTTTTGTGTTAACTACCGTCGTCTGAACGACGTTACGAAGAAGGACAGCTATCCCTAGCCAAGAATTGATGACACGCTGGACATGCTTACAGGAGTAAAGTGGTTTAGCACGCTGGATCTAAAAAGTGGCTACTAGCAAGTTGAAATTGACCCTAAGGGCAAGGAGAAAACTGCGTTCCCGACGGGAAAGGGTCTATGGCAATTTAAAGTAATGCCGTTTGGGTTGTGCAATGCTCCAGCAACGTTTGAAAGGCTGATGGAACTTGTACTTACCGGGCTAATTGGAGATGCCTATCTGGTCTACTTGGATGACATCATCATCGTGGGCCGTACGTTTGAGGAACACCTTCAAAACCTGGAACGCGTGCTCATGAAGATTCAGAGTGCCAACCTCAAGTTGAGTCCGAAGAAATGTTCACTATTCAAACGGCAAGTTAACTTTTTGGGGTATATAGTATCGGAAGAAGGTATCCGCACGGATCGAGAGAAATTCGCCGCTTTCAAGGCTTGGCCGGTTCCAAAAGACAAGACGCAGGTTAGAGCATTTTTGGGTTTGTGCTCCTATTACCGTTGATTTGTGAAGAACTTTGCAGATATAGCCAAACCTCTGCACAAGCTAACCGAGGAGAACCGACATTTCTACTGGGATGAAAGATGCAATATCGCATTGCAGGAGCTCAAGGACCGTCTGTGCAAAACACCTATTTTGGGATACCCTGATGCAAGCAAAGAATTTATAGTTGACACAGACGCAAGTGATACAGGACTTGGCGGTGTGTTGTCTCAACGGAATGGTGACCAAGAGGTCGTGATAGCGTACTTCAGCAAGTCGTTGTCTAAACCAGAAAGGAACTATTGTGTCACAAGACGTGAATGGCTAGCTGTGGTAAAGTCTTTGCAGCATTTTAGCAAATATCTTCTGGGACGAAAATTTCACTTACGAGCTGACCATGCTGCACTAAAATGGCTATAGCAGTTTAAAAATCGAGAAAGACAAGTTGCGAGGTGGATTGAACTACTGCAGGAATACGACTTTGAGATCGAACATCGCAGCGGAAAATCTCACGGCAACGCAGATGCATTGTCAATAAGACCTTTTCCTGAAGATTGCAACCATTGTACTAGGCAAGAGAGTAAGGAGAGGTATCCGTGAGGATGCTCAGGATAGACCACCTCAGCAACGACTGGAGGGACAGCTTACTACATGCACAGCAGGAAGATCAGGAAATCAAGCCGATTCTGGAATGGATAAAGGCCAGTGCTCCCAAGCCCAAGTGGAGCGACGTCTCAGCGATGAGTTCGACCACTAAAAGCTATTGGGCCCAGTGGGACAGCTTGCTGCTTCAGAATGGAGTTCTGTGCCGTAAATGGGAAAATGTTCGGGGAGACAGCTGTCATTTGCAAATGGTTGTCCCTAAAGCTAAAGTACCGGATGTTCTACAGCTGTACCATAATGATTGTTCAGGAGGCCATCTGGGAGTTAAACGAACTCTACTGAAGATCCGAGAACGGTTTTATTGGGTCCACTGTCGAAACGATGTCGAGGACTGGTGTCGCAAATGTACAAGTTGTGCGGCTGTAAAGGGACCTCAGACTCGTAGTAGAGGTGCATTGAAGTTGTACAATGTTGGTGCACCATGGGAGAGAATAGCCATTGACGTGGCGGGGCCGTTTCCGGAGAGTGAAAGCGGTAACAAGTATTTCATGGTTGTAATGAATTACTTCACTAGGTGGCCAGAAGTCTTCGTCATTCCAAATCAAGAAGCTGCAACAGTTGCAGATAAAGTAGTTCATGAAGTCTTCTGTCGTTTTGCTGAGTACTTTAGAGATTCACAGAGATCAAGGAAGGAATTTTGAGTCTCAAATATTCCAGGAAACTTGCCGAGTTATGGGTACTCATAAAACAAGAACGACTTCTTATCACCCGCAATCTGATGGAATGGTAGAACGATTTAATCAGACATTGGAGAGGTACCTAGCGAAAGTTGTAGACAATCGGCAACGAGATTGGGACAAGCACATACAACCGTTTTTGTTGTCATATCGAAGTTCTGTTCACGAAAGTACAGCAGTGACACCAGCTTTCGCAAACTTTGGAAGAGAATTACGGCTGCCTGCAGACCTGATCACCGTGATAGCACCTGATGCCCCACGCAGTATAACCGATTATGCAAATGACTTGCGGAACAAAATGAATGACATTTATGAGCACGTCAGACAATCGGGCCAGCAAATGTCTGAGAAGATGAAAACCCGGTATGACCGCAAAATGAACAACAAAGGGTTCGACGAAGGTTCACTAGTGTGGTTGCACAATCCAGTCCGCAGCAAAGGGAAATCTCCTAAGCTTCAAGCTAAATGGGACGGCCCGTACCGGATTGTAACCAGGATCAACGATGTAACCTACCGGATACAGAAAGGCGCAAGAGGGACTCCTAAGATCGTCCATGTGGATCGCCTGGCGCGTTATTATGGGGCCGATAATGCTCGGGACGAGCATGTCTTAGGAGGGGGCAGTGTTGCGCGAATAAGTCGACGTCATGTATCCGGCACTAGCGCCATCTAGTGTCAGGGACGAGAGCGAGGGGAGCTTTCCAGAAAATGACATCACTAATCTTTCAACCGACAGCGCCATCTAGTCTCGAAACGAAGAGCTAAGCTTCTAGAAGTTGACACTCAAACTCTCGACCCCTTGCGCGTGTTTACTTGAATGTTCTGGATGTTTCGGTGCTAATTTGTATTTATAGGCGCTGCGAGATGCGATCGGGGAAGTATTGAATTTGGCGAGACAAGCGAAGCTTCGGAGCGAAATAAAGTGAATTAGTGTGCTTAATTATTAGTGTTTTAAGTTTTAATTTGTGTAAAGAAAATTAAAGTGTTAATTTAGGTAATTCTATCGGCAATTTTTATTGTCACGAACCTCAAGCTCGTAACAATATTATTACCTATGTAAGCTCCTTCAGGCAATTTTACATAAACATTTTCATTAATATTTCCATACACAAACGCCCCTGTTACATCCATTTGAATTATAGGTAAATTAAGTTTAGTTGCTATTGCTACAAACAGTTGACAATTTTGCAACTGGAGCAAACAGTCACTTAAGTCTAAAATATCATCCTGTTCGAACCCTCTCGCTACCAATCTAGCTTTATATTGAGGAAAATCTGAATCTCCCCTTTTAATTTTAAATACCCACTTACGGGTCACAAGCTTTTCATTTTCTGGTAAATCACATATTTCCCAAGTATTATTTTCTTCTAGTGTTTGCATCTCTCTATCTATCGCCTCCGTCCGTCTCTTCTCACCATAGCCTCACCATAAGTGACAGGTTCACATTGTTCGGTATGCACATTTTGGCAATAATAGTAAACAGGTAGATTCCTAATTCGTTTGCTGGGTTCTCTTTGGCAGACCTCATCAATCGGTTCGACTGAGTAGTTACTTGATTCACATGGACCGTATTCAGATCCAGACTCTTCGGACATACTCGCAATCACCATAGTTTCATTGAGATTCGCTGATGTAGTTTCCGATTCATTATGCAACTCATTACTTTTGTCATTATTTTCTTCTGTATAGTTCAATTTTTCCTCGATTTTACTATAGTTTTGATCTTTTTCTAAGAAAACTACATCTCGTTTGAGTTCTACATCATTCCTATGTGAGAAGTATATTCTATATCCTTTAATAGTTTCGCCATAACCAACCATTACTCCTTTTTCTCCTTTGCTATCCCACTTCTTTCGCTTTTCTTTAGGAATGTGTGCATACACTGGTGTCCCAAATCTTTACTGTCTTTACTTTTTCCGGTCCTGTTCAAGAGAAATGCTGCTGTGTTTACAGCCTGAGCCCACAATGATTTTGGTAAATCCTTACAATGCATTCAGCATTGTGAGAGCGGATTCGACTAGCGTCCGATTCTCTCATTCTGCTTTTCCGTTCTACTCTGGGGTGTAGGGGAAACTTGTTTGATGTATTATTCCGCGTTTAGTAAAGATATCTTTAACTTCCTTATTTATGAATTCGAGACCATTATCAGTTCCGAAGATTTTCACCTTATTTCCAGTCACATTTCTGCCTTGTTAACGAAATCTTCAATAGAGTACTTTATATCTGATTTATTCTTGACAAAATACACCGATCTATAGTTGGAGGAGTCATCTTTCAATATTACAAAGTACCTAGTCAAGTTAACGGGAGCGGTGGAGGCGTTTTTTAAAAACTAAAATAAAACTAAGAGATGTCCGTACAGAAGCTCATGTACTTCAACAATGGCAAACTTATTCTAATACATCTTTCATGCAGACGTTATTACATTTGCTTACTCAAGTGACGCGATATAGGCCACACACAGGGTGCAATGTCAGCAATAGCATTCTCCCAAGCGGTTTGTTCAGTGGGATCTTCGCGTTTTAAAGTTCTTCCTTCGACAATATCCAACCAGCCTTGACCTCGTAGCAAAACTGTAGTTTGGAACTTCCAGATGTTCCAGTTGTACGTCCTTCCAGCTTCATCAAGCTGTTATTTGTGTTTAGATCGACTTCCATTTCGCTATCCTGTCTTACGATCCAGGTCGAAAAGTAACTTTTTACTATCTCCACATTGCCGTGCAAACTTAACCTCACTTTTAAGCCGCACGTGTAACGCGAATGTTATTTTCACGGTAAGTTTCTCACTTTTTATTTTATTACTTTTGGGTCATGTGCCTGGGCCCATAACCTGTTGTAATAAAATAAATAACGCAGTTTTATAAACGTAAATGGTTTTTATTTGAACACCTTGTGCACACCATGACAATTTATATTGAAGAAAGAGACAGGGTTACCAACACCAAAAATTAAATTAAGGTGAAATTACATTGCCATATTCTAACAGACTGTGTGCTGTAAATTAATGCCGCATCGACACGGGATCCTGACTAACATGATAGCCATGAATGTTAATTTTACTTCAAGTGCTCGTATAACTGCTTACATACCCTATCCTAGTACCTGTTCGCCCAGCATGATGAGGATCTGCGCAACCTTCTTGATTGTTTCAAGATTCTGTGGCGTGGGCAGCAAGAGGCGAGGATCTTGCAGGCGTGGAGAATGAGACGCCACACGTGACGTCAGCTCGTTTACGGCGGCCAGCGGAGTGTGGTCCGTAGGGTGGAACTTGACGTACAAATTGCAACAAAGAAGTCAGATATATACTTTTCAATTTTTTAAATAGAATAACGGGACAAACGAGCACACAGTTCGCCTGTGGTGGTTACTGTATAAGAATCAAAATACGTTGTTACCCCTGAGGAATAAGATGGAACGCCTCGGTTCTAGTCAAAAGGTCTCCGGATCTTAAACATCACCATACGTAACACAGCAGAATTAAGCTGCTATTTTGCACTGATAATACGTGAAAGTGTGGTCTTTTCCCGATCCAGCCGATATATTTGTGCTACAACCGTAATATAGCGGCAGCATGGCTTTACCACGTAGAAATCTAAACGGCCAGTATTTTGAACGTAGAGAACCGGAGATCTCTTTTGCTGGAATCGAGGCATTGCATCTTAGTCCTCAATGGCGTCACCACATTCAGTGTTTTGATCCTTAATCGAAGAAAGATGTAGATGTATATGGGATACAGCATTCACTTACCGTCAGGTGATTTGTATACTCGTTGGTCTCCCTTGTTCTATAAACGTATAAAATATAATACTTAACTAGTCTCTGTAGAAATCTTGCGAACCAACGCTTTTTCTTTTATTTCATCAGCCCGTAATACCCCATAATAGGCCTCTTCTGCGGTTGTTAACCTTCTTGCCAAGCGTGGCAACTATGGCAAGAGTGTCAACTATGGCAATCGTGTCAACTATGGAAAGCGTGTCAACTATGGCAAGCGTGGCAACTATGGAAAGCGTGGCAACTATGGCAAGCGTGTCATCTACGGTAAGCGTGGCAACTATGGCAAAATCCTCCCCTGGTGCAATCTATGGGGAGGCCTATCTTCAGCAGTGGACTTTTATAGGCTGTAATGGGTATTTAATTTTATTACTTATATGATTGATAATAATCCCTAGGAATGAGGTGATCGCTACCATGCTCCTTAATATTTTTATATTTAATTGTACAACATATTGTGTTGTAAATTTTGCCTAAAAATTTTTCCTGATGAATTTCTTGCTGATTCTTCCTTTGACAGAGAGGTTTTTTTTTTCAAAACCAGTGGTAAAATAAAAATAGATAATTTTCGAAAAGAATTACTTGTAATTTATGTTGAATAAAAATGATTCCTTTCAATTCAATTCTTTATGGTATTGTTGCGTGAATAAGTCAACTAGCGCCATCTAGTGTCAGGAACGAGAGCGAGGGGAGCTTTGCAGAAAATGACATCACAAATCTCTCAACCGACAGCGCCATCCGAAGAACTAAGTTTCTAGAAAATCTACACTCGCACTCTCGTCCCTTTGCGCGATTTACTTGAATATTCCGGATGCTTCTTTGCTAATTTAAATAAATAGGCGCTGCAAGATGCGATCGGAGTAGTATTGAATTGGCGATACGAGCGATGGCGATAGGAACAGGTCCGTCAGTTAAAAGAGCAGCTGCAGAGCGGACAGGATGAACAGGCCCGCCGACAAGAGGAACAGGCCCGCCGACAGGAGGAACAGGCCCGTCGGTTGGAAGATCAGCAGGCGGAACAGGCTCGTCGGTCGGAAGAGCAGATGCTCCTTATGAAGGACCTTCATGCTACCTTTGGGAAAGAGATAAGGGAGGTGAAGGACAGGGTTGCTCAACATGACAACCGCCTGTCGGAAGCTGAAACCCAAACCAAGGAAGCTAAAACCCAAATCGACCAAGTGAACAATCGGGTTGATTACGTAGTGGCTGACGTGAAGAAAACGCTGGACGACCTCAAACTGGGTGATGGAACTACAGCTCCCGTAGTAGCTACTACACCTTCGCTACGTGGGTTCAAAGTGCCACCGTTCGACGATACTTCTTCCTGGTCAGCCTACAAAATCCAGTTCGAGGCTGTTATGAAGGTGAACGGCTGGAATAAAAAGTCAGGCAATGACTGCTCTCACACTAGGCCTGCGCGACCAGGCCTTAACAGTTCTGGAAGCTCTCGGGGAGGAAGTGACTTATGAGCAACTCCTTGAGGCATTGGAGGCGAGATATGGCGACGCTCACCTGGAACATGTCTTTCGTGCGCAGCTTAAAGATCGCATGCAGCGCATCAACGAAAACCTGCAGCAGTGGGCTCTAGAGGTGGAAAGCATACCGGTCTGTACCTGCGCTCATTGAAGGGAACCTGGTGCAGACATTCATCGACGGCATCCGCGACCTGGAAGTCAGAGCTGCTGTGAGGCTCGGGCACCACGAGACGCTTAAGAACGCCTTGGCCCATGCACTGGAGGTGGAAGCCGTGCGGCAGGATCATCGTTCCCATCGCGTCAGGGAGGTTGCAGCAGCTACAGTTCGCGACCGCAACAGAGGATACAGCCCTAGGTGCTATGGCTGTGGGTAAAAGGGCCATCTTCGATCCAGCTGCCCTAAGCGAACCCTAGAAAGGGAAGTTGAAAGATCTCAGGAGGGTAGTGCGGCCAACAGCACCACCCAGCAGCAGCAGGGAAACGAGTAAAAGCCAGAACTGCGAGGCGGGTGCTGGCTGATGTTAAAAGAGCCCCAAGGATCTCGATCTCACAAACCCATGATGGGAACAGTCTAATCATCAAGGGCGAGGTCAACGGAATGCCGTGTAAACTGACCATAGACACTGGAGCCTCTCGTACGGTTGTTAGTTCCCAACTTATAAGTCAGTTCCTTGTGGACTCCGCATACAACCGAGAACGCATTAATTTGGTAACAGCCACCGGTCAGCGTATACCCGTCCGTGGAGAGAAGGAGATGGAGATGAAGCTAGGCAACGTGATCTACCTGCATAATGTCATCGTGGCTGATATAATGGACGACTGCATCTTAGGCCTAGACTTTATGAGGAATAATTGTTGTGAGATCGACGTTAAGCTAGGTGTTTTGAAATGTGGACAGGAGGAACTTTTATGGAAAGTGCGTTACCAGGGAACGTGTACAGCATTAAGAAGATTGTTCTTTCGTCGAGATCGGCAACGATTGTTCCGGTTAGTCTTCCTCGAAACGCTGGGCAAGCTCACCGTTGTGTACTTGTGGAAAGGGTAAACAATGACCTTCCATGGAAAGTAGCTCGAACCTTGGTCAGGACCACTGACATCTCAGGAGTACGTGTGCTAAACCTTTGCGACCGGGCACAGATTACAGAAAAAGGCACACTGATTGGTACTTGTGAGGAAGTGGATTGGTTACGTCGGTACCAATATCTATCGACTGGGACCCCCAGCAAGGATGCAGAAACGACAGTGACCACACTTTTGGAAGACTGTCGCAGTGTTCTCTCCCCGAACGAATTGGTCAAGGCGAAGAAGTTGTTACTCAAGTACGCCGATGTATTCTCATCAAACGATGCTGACATAGGAAAGACTGGCTTATTTCAACGGCAAAATAAACACAGGAGAAGAATTGCCTATCCGTCAGCGGCCAAGAAGATTGCCGGTAGCACGTGAAAAGGAAGTGGAAACCATGATTGAAGGAATGGTAAAGGATCGTGTTATTGAACCTTCCTCTAGTCCATGGTGTTCACCAGTGGTGCTGGTGAAGAAGAAGGATGGCAGCATGCGGTTTTGTGTTGACTA